AGTACAGGAGCTCAGCACAGCAAACAGGCACCTGGGAGTGCAGGAGCTCAGCACAGGGCACCTCACAGCAAACAGGCACCCAGAGCATGCTGCAGCACAGAGCCCAGGCACACCTGCTCCTCACAGCCCCTCCTTCCCCTCAGTTCACAGGATTAGTGTTCTCCTTCCCCAGTGGGAAACACCATCAGAAAAAAGGCTGGAGCAGCAGGAATGAGCCCTTTGGGGGGAGGAGGAGCTTTCAGGAGGAGCACTGCAGCTCCTGATGGCAGCTGTGTCCAGCGGGCAGTGACCCCAGCGCAGCCCCAGCTCCCCCTGCTTGTGCCGAAGCAGCTTCAGAGCTTCACCCTGGCAACAGCCATGGAAGTACCAGTCCACGTTCACCCCACAGAACATCGAGGAGCGCCATTTCCCACCTATCTGGAGTCTTCAAACTGTGTTAGGGGTGTGGTTTGCTGCTGCTGAGGCCAATGCTCCTGCCCAGGCCGTGTTTCCCTCGCTCACAGTGATGCAGTCACATCACTGCAGCTCATCTGTTTCACACATCTCACTCTCTGCTGCAGCCCAGCACTGCCCCGTGCTGAGCTCAGCCCCAATCCTGCTCCCCCAGCCCAGGCCGAGCAGGGCCAGCGTTGGCCTCAGCAGCAAACACAGGGATTTGCAAATACGTTTTTCCAGGCTTGTGTAAATGAATCCATGTGTGCTCCAGGACAGCTCCTGGCAGGACGGGCTCAATTCAAACCACGGCCAGTGCAGGGGCTGTTCCTACACCATGCTCTGCTCCCAGGTGGTCAGAAGTAAAAATGGATCAATTTAACAACACGGACATAATCACTTCACCCTTCTTTGGTACAGACACTGGCCACGAGCACCGACTGGGACACTGACACCACAAGCACAGGTCACACCGAGTCTAGGAGCTGCTCAGAGATTCTGTTCTGCTATGTAACAAAACAAACCAAAAAAAAAGGAAAATAAAGGCAACACTTCCCAAGAGCTGCTCCCAGCCATGTGCCTGGAATTCTTGCTGCTTTTACAACACACACTGTATTCAGAATTAATTTTATCCTTTGAGAGTCCAACTGGAAATCACCAGCTACCGCTTCCGCTCGCCTTTCTGTGTTCGCTTCTTCTCCTTCTCCTTCCGCTCCTGCTTGGCCAGCTTGTCCTTCTCCCTCTGCAGTTTATCCTGCTCTTTCTTCTTCTGGAACTCATCCCGCAGCAGCTCCCTCTCCAGTTTCCTGGCATTCAGGACATCCTCCACGTTGGTGTTTCTGAACAGCGCTGGGGTGGGCTAAGGGCCACAATGCTCTGGCTGACGTCATGTGAGATGGTGCCTGCGGCACATGGGAAGTTTGTTCCACCTCCCCCCTCACCTTCTGACTCCCTGCTTCTTCACCAGTCAGGTGAGGAATTGGGAATGAGGAATGCAGACAGAAAGGAGAAGGAATCTCTGATTGCTATTCCAGAAAGAAAAGTCAGGTTGAAAAAACACCCAGCCCTAGAGAAGGAGGGTCTGGAGCACAAGTCTGATGAGTGGTAGAAGGAGCTGGGGGGCCTCAGCCTGGAGAAAAGGAGGCTCAGGGGGGACCTTCAGGCTCTGCACAACTCCCTGACAGGAGGGGACAGCTGGGTGGGGGTCAGGCTCTGCTCCCAGGGAACATGGACAGGACAAGAGGAAACAGCCACAAGTTATGCCAGGAGAGGTTTAGGTGGGATACTGGAAAAAACTACTTCAGGGAAAGGGTGGTCAGGCATTGGCACAAGTTACCCAGGGTGGAGTCCCATCCCTGAAGGATTTAAAAGCTGTGCAGATGTGGCACTTGGGAACAGGGGTCAGTGGTGGCCTTGGCAGTGATAGGGGAATGGTTGGACTCAATCTCAGAGGGCTTTTCCAACCTTATGATTCTTTGTTTCTTTCCTAGAAAAATTAGGTTGCCTTCTAGTTCTTAAGACTGATGTGTAAAAATATCTGTCAAACCTCTACAAACCTGAAAGGAAGCAAACACACAGGTACAGCCTAGAGTGGGTTCACTGCAGCTGTGTGTGACGTGTCTGAACACATATATACATATACATAGGTGTATGTGCAGACAGACAGGTACATACATGTCCCTAATTCAGAGACAAGAATAATCTACATTTCATATTTAATTATGTGATAAAACCTGCTTCCATCCTAAATTTGCCAACTGGAGCTCAAGGACAGTCCCAATTCTGAGACAGACATGGGCCCCTTGGTCCTGCCCCCCGAGTGTTCAGCTGCACCATGGCCTGCCAGGCTTCATTCCTGACATGATTCCCCTGTCTGGACACCAGTTAACATGAACCTGATGTTCTGGGAGCATTATCCTTATCAATAAGCATGTTCTATGAAGCTGCAAGAAGGTGGAAGAGGGAGAGAGGAGAGGAGAAGAAAATGAATGGCAGGGTTGGTGTGAGTGCTGGGCACTGAGCAGACATGTCACTGTCACTGTGAGCAAGGTCAGGGTACACAGAGAGAAAAACCAATCCCCAAGCTTAAAGATGGCCCTAAAGAACCAGGGAGACCAGCACAGGGAGAGAAGGATGGGAAACTCACCATGGAGGCTGCCTGCCTGACAAACAGCCTGAGTCACCAGGAATTCAAAGGATACATTTTTCTGATCCAATATTTACTGCTGTCGTCAATCCATCCTGTTCATCCCCACCAGTGAGAGAATTAAGGAAACACAGACATCAATAATGAACTTGTGCCTCTCCACAGCCACACTTCACTCAAATAAGAGCCTTATAAAGCCAGGAAGAAGCAGCTGGACTCTCACAGACCAGGTATGCACAGCTCCCACCCTGAGCTCCTGCTGCTCCAGGGCCAGATGTGGTTGCCTACGATTCACTCAGCTGGGCAGGGAAGAGCTTGTTCTTCAGGACCACAAAGAGTTAACTTCTAACCCTCCCACTCCACACACTCTCTCTGTAAAGGATTATTTCAGCAGATTTCTCCTGGGAAAGCAAGAGAGAAACTCAGCACCAGCTGCTGAGGGACGGAGGCATTCACTGTTCTCCTGCCACACACCTGGGCTGGGCAAAGTGTCACAGCCACGTGCTGTGGGGACAAAGACCCTCCCCAAACAAGGAGCTTCCATGCTCTGTCCAAGGCAGTTATTTTATCCTGAAGGAAGACTGCAAAGCTTCCCCAGCTCTCCCCCCCAGGCCCTGCAGAGCTGGAAAGGTGCTGTTGTTGTTTGAGGAGGTTTAGGACAGGTGCTGTCCCTCCCAGCCCCAAGCAGTGCACAAAAGGATATTCCTCCTCGTCGGTCACGTTGGCATACTGGGCCAGGAGTGCAGCCTTCCTCTGCTTCTCCTCCTGGGACACTTCCCTGGGCTTCACCACTATCCTGGCCTGCTTCTCCATCATGCTGGTGATGGCCTGGACCTCATCTGGCAGGAGAGGAGTGACAGTGTCAGCCTAGGCCACAGCCATGGTGTCACTCACTGCCTCCTCCCTCTGCAGGGACATTGTCCTGGGGGAAATGCACCCACCCAGAGGGACATGTCTCACTCAAAAACACCCCCCAAGCTTTTCCCAAGGGCACCAGTGGTGCTGTCAAAGCTGCTTTGGGGAATTCCAGCTGGGATCTGGGAGAGATGGAGCTGCTGAGGAGCCAGCACGGGGCCAGCATGGGGCTGACACCCTGACTGACACCAGCTTTGAGAGGGAATTCCCTGTGCTGCACCCAGCCACCACCAGACACTGTTATTCCTGGAGTCAGGGAAGTTTTACAATGAAACTGGAATCAATCAGGCTCTGGCTAATGAAAATCCATTTGACTCCAAATCACATTCTCTTCTACTTCAAAGCAGTTTAATAAGTTTATTTAAGGATGTACTTAACCCTCATCAAAGATAAATTCTGCAAACCTGAAATGAGGAATCAGTTCATGCTCTCCCTTTCTTTCCAACCAAGAGAAACCAACAACTGATTTACCTTTCAACACTGAAATTCCCATTTCCTAAAATGACATCTGGGTTTTGACACCATTTTTTTTTTTTTTTTTAGTTTGTTAATCACTTATCCTCAGGACTCTGTTATTCACACTTCAGTGGGGATTTATCCTTTTATGGAGCCCCAGTGAAATAATTTCACCCTGGAATTCTATGAACTCACACACACTGTGCTGCCTTTTTATAACAAGAAAAATCCCTGTGGGTGAGCACTGGCAGGAGCAGGAGCCCAGCAGCAGCTCCAGCAATCCCAGTCACTCGTCCCCAGGAGGAATTTATTTTATTTAATGCATGGAACAGCATTAACTTCTCCCTCTCCCCAGCCAAAGGCAAGGTCAGGCCAAGAACAGACTTCCAGGATTTTTGGGGAAAGCCACTGAGCTGCTGCATGGTGGAGTTACTGTGTCCATGCAGGGGGTGAGGGAGAGGGGATGCTGGGGCTGATCCTGGACTTGCTGCCAGAGCCATTCCTGGGTAACAGCAGGCATTGACAATGTGCTGTCTGCACCCAGAGGCAACAAGAAAATGCAAAGCAAACAAAAAGCAGGATTTAGACCAAAGGGATGTTCCAATGTCAGGTCTCTTGTCAGGTCTGTGCCACTGCAATGTCACAAATCCTCCCAGCACACAGCTCCACTGCATGCAGAGCCTGCACAGGGACCAGGACAAATGTTGGATCCCAAAAACCTGGGATCTTTGACCTCTCTGTGCTGTCTAGCACTGACCCCCTGTAGAACACTGCTTTTGACCTGAGGCCTTGGAGAAGGCTCCAAATTTGAGTGATGGAGTTAAAATCACGGGGGTGTGGTTATATAGAAGTGTGTGCTTTCACACGGTGAAGGGGTTTAAATTTGAGGTTTTATAATACAGTAATAGGTATGGGACAAGATGGAGGGGTTTGGGTGTTGTCTCTTCTCTGTGTTCTTCCTTCATGATTTCAGGCAGTAATTTTTGGTTGGACAGTCAGTGCTGCACTGAGGGTCACAGGAGTTTGGTTATTGGGTCAAAAGTATAAATAATATAGGTGTTTGTTTATTGGACTGTTTAGCTTTAAGAGACCTTGTAACCAGCTGGATTCAGATGCATTCTGCTCACTTTTAGCTGGTAGCTGGAAGTGTTGCAGAACTCTCTGTACTTTAGATAAGATTTAATAAACAACTGAGCCCAAACACAAGATAATTCATCTTCTTCATGTTTTTAATCCTGGCTCTGAGTGAAGACAGAAGAAACTGCAGACAAGCCACTAATTAAGTGGTGCAAATACCACATTTACAGACAAACCTCTGCAGTGAACAAGGACAAGATGAGGTCTTGGCTCCCAGCTGAGGACAAGGGATGGGTTCAGGGAGGTGACACAGGGACAGTGGGGCTGGGGAAGGAGCAGTGACAGTTTAGCAGCAGCCTCACAGAGCTTCCTCCAACAAGCATTTATGGGAAAGAAGGAGAGTTGTAAGGGGAAATGTTGGAAGAGGAAATCCAGACACGTGAGTGGGGTGAGCAGCAGCAGGAGGGACAGCCCAGCTCTGCACGGGGGCAGCTGCAGTTGTACAAAGCAGCTGCTTTCCAGACTGGCATGGACAGAAACAGCACAGGTTTCTATACCATAACAGTTGCAGAGCCAGCACTAAACAGAGACAACTAAACAGAGACAGCCCTGGATGTGCTGGGAAAGGTTTCTGAAAAAAACACAGAATGGTTTGGGCTGGATCTTAATGACCATTTCATCAGAAAAAATAATCCTATAGGAAAAAAACAAAAAACAAACAAAAAAAAAAAACCCACCAAAACCACACAAAAAAACAACAAAAACCCCAAAAAAACCAGAAAAAAACAACCAAGCAACCACCACAAGAAAACCCAATGCCAAACTCAAAAAAACAGAAAGCCAAAAACCCACAAACAAGAAAGCAAAAAAAAAATCCCCACTTTTCCCCTGCAGGATGATGAACCCAAAGAGCAGCAAATGCTGGGGCAGCCCAAAGTGAAGCTGCTCATCCCCATGGCAGCTGAAAGAGTAACTGAGCAGCAATGGAATGAGGGGCAGGTCACACCTGCAGCCCTGGGGCAGCGTTGGTTTAAGTCCTACCAGGGCAGCTCCCATTGAGGTGAGGCCACCCCACACTGAGGACCAGGGCACAGCACCCCAAGGCACAGCACTCTACCTTCTTTCTCCTCTTTGGCATCAACGACCTGGGAGTCAGACCACCTTTCCACAACCTCCCTGCACACATCAGTCAAGAGATCTTCTTCCTAGGAAGGGAAAAGAGACATCTCACACTTGGAACAGAACTGGCTGCTTCAAACAAGCACCAGTCAGACAGGAAAAGCAGCAGCTACAAAGGATCTGCATGCCCAGCAGTCAGCTCAGGAACACAGCTTTTCACCCCAAATCTGCCTGTCAGACACACACAGGACTCTGGTTTCCCTGGGGTGACACAATCACACTGTGTCTGGTCCCTGTGCTCTGACACACGTGGGTTTCACAAGGGTGCCTGTGCATGTGCCACAGCCCTGCCCAGCCCCAGAAGGCCATCAGGGATCTTTGCTCCCAAAGCTCCTGCCCTGCATCCTCTCTGTTTCTGAGCCAAGGCCACAGGGAAGTGACTCAGTGCCACCTCCATGCCAAGCTCAATAAAGGGAATAAATGACATGGGATAAATCATAGGTCAGGGCCAGGGCAGAGCTGAAACCACTGTGGTGGTACTGACAGACCATCACCTCCCACCTGCAGGGACACTTCCTTAGAAGTGGCAGTGACACATCCCCAGCTGCAGCAGGGGCTCCTCCAGGAGAATCTCTGCTCCAGGGCTGCAGGGGCACTGCTGCCTCACCATGGTCTTCCCCACACAATCTCAGGGGAATCTCAGTGCCTGGAGCAGCTCCTGCCCCTCCTTCTCCACAGACCCTGCAGAGCTGCTCCTCTCACAGCTTCTCCCTCCTCTCTCCTGCTCTGCTTCTGCAGGTGGTTTTTTCCCTGCTTAAATTTGTCACTGAAAGGTGTTGAATGTCTTGGAGCTGACTGGCATTTGCTCCATGGAACGTGGGAGCCAAACACCATTGACAGGGGTCACAGAGCTCAGGGGCCACCACCAAATATTTCCAAACAAACAAGAAATTATGTTGGTTTGGCGTTCAGTACATACAGAGAAAAATCAAACATGGAAAATACAAGTGAGGTGGATTCTGTCTGGTTTAAAGAGAAAAACCGGACAGAAATAGAACTCGGTTTTAAGTTTCTTGATTAGACATGGTGACATCTGAATAAACTCACTAGTGCAAGACATGAATAGGACTGAGGAGCCATGGACATGACAGCAGATGTCACCTTATTTTAATAAGATTTCTGAAATACAAGCAAGTGAACAAAAAAAATCTTCTATAATTTATGTATGGAACAAGGAGAAAAGACTTGGCAAGAAACCCCCCAAATCCACCAAATAAAACACTGTTTCAAAAGTCAATACAGAAATAAGCACAGAGTCTAAAAATAAAGAAAAAAAGAAATTATAAAAGAACAGACTACAAAGACTAATTAGAAAGTCTGAAGGTTCAAGAGACAAAAATGTTTTACAAGAACGGCAGAAAAATCAAGCAGAGCCAGAAACTGCAAACAAGGCTGAACTGAGCTGTGGCTGTGGCACAAAAGGAAAAGGAAAAGGCTGTGGTGTGACTGGGGCAGTGACTCGAGGGACATGGGAACCCCACAGCTCCTCAGTCCTGGCAGCAGCACCACAGGAGGGATCTCAGCACTGAGCAGAAAAGGGGAAACAGCAGAAAACCTGAATACCAGGAAAGGGGAATATCAGTGGCAGGCCCAACCAGCACTGCTCAGACAGGACACACTCTCCAGGCCAGGCACAGTGATGGAGATGGAATGAAGTCTGGTAATTACAGGGAGGTTAATTAACCTCAGCTCCTGCAGAGCAGCACTTTGCAAAGACCTCTGGCTCCATCCCTCAGGATGCACCGTTTGCTTCCCTGGCTCTTTTAGGCTCAAAGCTGCACTGCCACAGTTAAACCAGCTCACTGCTGTGCCCCAGGGTGGGGAGGGGACAGGGACGGCAGGGGAGGGTGCTCTGACTTTCAGGAAACACATCTGGAGTGGCACAGTCAGTGTACAGAAGGAATGGTGTCATACCTGTGGTAAGAAAACGCTGATTGTGCCCACCCAGTGCCTGTGGGCTTTGTGCTCCCACACTGGTATTTTGTGAGGAAATCAGTGACAACCACTGAGCAGACAGTTCCCAACACCAGCACTACTCATTATTTAACATTTTACACTATGAAACATCCATTTATGAAAAATCCTAAGATACAGACACTGTAAAAATCATACAAGAAGGATTATCCAAGAGAAATCCCTCCCTGCAGTCTCCTGGCTCCCAGGAATGTGGCAGGAGCAGACAAGCCCTGCCCACCCTCCAAGCTCACCCACGGCTGCTCCTGTCCGTCCCAGCCCGATCTGATTCCTGACAGACAGCGCGTGTGTGAGGCACGGGAGCACGGCCCAGCACACTCCTGCCAGAGAGTTTTCCATTAAAAGTCACCTCTCGAAGCCCAGCTGGCGCTGCCAGGCAGCCCGGCTTGAGCTGAACCCAAACAAAGGGGATCCCTGTGCTCCCCACGAACAGCCCCTTCCACAGCCAGAGCTTCCATCAGCCCCGAGCCTGGCTCAAAACCCTTCCCCAGCCAACAACAACCCCAAACAAGCACCCCGCAAGGGTTGCGGGTGAGGGCAAAAAAAAGCCCTAGGAGGTGGTGTTCCCCCAGTGAGGGGGTAACCACTCCGGGAAAGGAGTGATGTACCCCGGGAAGGGGTGATGTAGCCCGGGAAGGAGTGATGTACCCCGGGAAGGGGTGATGTACCCCGGGAAGGGGTGATGTACCCCGGGAAGGGGGTCATGTACCCCGGGAAGGGGTGATGTAGCCCGGGTCCCGCGGAGCCGCCCCGCCCGTGCTCCCTGCCGGACACACAGAGACCCCGGCCCATGGAGGCCGCAGCTCCCGTCGCCTTGTGGGCTGCAGGGGAGCCCCGGAGGGAGCATGGTGCTCATCGGCGCGGGACGGACGGCGAGATCCCGCTCGCCCGGGGGCCGCGGAGAGACCCCCGCCCCTCACCAGGCAGGCGGCCAGGACGGCCCGCAGCGCCTCCAGCCGCTCCTCGTCGCTCTCCTCCTCCCGCAGCAGCCCTTCTATGTAGGCGCCGTACACAGCGCGGTCCAGCCCCAGCGCGTCCAGCCGCGCTGCGAGCCAGGCCGGGAAGGGCGGCGGGTCCGGGACCATCATGGGGGCCGCGATCGGCATCGGGGCCGCGCCCGCCCCGCCGGGCGCCGCCATCTTGGGCCTTCAGAAGTGGGGGACGGCGGCCGCGGAGGGACAAACTTGTGGCGCCGGCGGGAGCGGCCGGGGTCGGCGCGGCCGTGCCCGGACGGGAGCGGCGGGACCGGGCGGGCGGCCCGGTGTGCTCGGTGCGCCCCGTGTGCCCCCTGCGCCACCTGCGCCCTTGGCACAGCTCCTCGCTCCCCGGAGAGCGCTTTCGCGGGGAGCGGCGCGTCCCTGCACGGCCGCCGTGCGGGGCGGGGCGGGCGGCGGAATTTAAACGCGGCCAAGCGGCGGGCTCCCGGCGGCTCCGAGCCCCGGGCACGGCCATGGCCGGCACGGCCTCCCCTCGGCCCCTCCGCGGACAGTCCTTCTACCTGGACCTGCCGAGCGGCCGCAGCGCCCGAGACCTGGCGGAGGCCATCGGGCGGCTCGGGGGGGTGAGCGCGGGCCGGGGCTGAGGGAGGCGGGAGGCGCCGGGACCGCGGGGTCACTGCCGGAGGAGGGGGTCTGGGGGTGTCTTGGGGGGAGCTCGGCCTTTTTCTGTCTCTGCTCATTTTAAAACGTTTCCTGATTCTCTTACTTTTCCGGTGAGCCTCCCCGGGTACCCTGGCAGCCCTGGGGGTGCTGGAGGCCGCCCCCATCCCCGCGCTCTGCCCCTGGGGGTCCCGCACAGCCCCGGCTCGGGCCCAGCCTTTCCCCCCAACACTCCGGGTGCTTCCCTGCATTCCCAGGACCAGCCTTTCCCCCCAACACTCCGGGTGCTTCCCGGCTGCCTGGTCCAGCCGGTGCTGGTGACCGCCACGGGCATGGTGACCATGGAGCTCCCCGGCCATGGGGGTGCTCCCAGCCAGGGGTGATGGTCACTTCGTCCTGGGAGCAATTCCCAGGGCTGGGAACCGACTGCCACTCACAGGGCACCTCCCAGAGGTCGTAACTGCTTGTTCGGGGATGGGTGCCCCATTTATCACCCGTGAGAAATGGTTTTCTGGCCAGGGCCACACTTTCCCTAATTTTTTAGGGAAGTTGTGAGACTTCCAAATGGAATTCAACATAGAGTAAAGTAGGGAAATGCCAACCAAGGTTCTCATCCTGGAACTGTGTGCTTTCCTCATGGTTTTCTCAGAAAAGCCATCTGGACATTTTCCCTGGGAAGCTGTTATTTGGGTGGATCCCTATGGCATCCTTCATGGCCTCCAGGCTTCCTTGCTGGTGATATTCCTCACCAATTCCTTATATCCTATCACAAGACCTTTCAAAAAGTAACCTCACCTCAGTCCCTCAAGCTGGAGCTGAGCTTGGGATTGTACCTGGTTGTTCATCTTTCAGTCTCCTTATTCCTCTTGTGCACAGTTTGGTTCTAACAGTTGTTACCATTTGTTTTCAAGCTCTTTAATCTCTCCGAGGTGGTCATCTCATGTAACCTCAAAACTTAAATCCTACAATATACACACAGGTGTAAAATCTTTTAACTCTTGCTGATGCTGTATCCCTTCAGCCCTGATCAGGTGTTGACTGCACAGACATGTGGGGAAGGTGACTTGCAGTGTTTTCCCTTTCAGGACCTTTGTCCTGAACTTGCTGGTTTCTCTCTGCCCTCCCCTGGATGTGCCACCCGTACCTGGGACATCTCTTTCCTGCTGGGCATCCTCAAGTCTGAGAACCTCATGGTCCCAGCAGACAGTACACAGCTGCTGTGTTACTTGGAAATAATTTTAGACTTTGACTGACTGTTCTGGTTTCTATCAAACACCATCCTGGCCCTCCCTCTCTGAAATGAGGTCCACTGGCAGTGGAGCTCTCTTTCCTCTTGGTTCTGTAGAGATACTGAGCTACACCACAGCCACTGTCTGTACTGGCAGCAATTTGGCAGCAGTATCCAAGGCCAGGTCCTGTGTGTGGTTCAGGTCACAGGTAAGGCCATCCTGTGGCCTTGGGCTTGCGTGTGGCACCTTGAACTTGGCATGGGGCTGGTGCCACTCTGGAGTGTTATTTGGATGGGGACGTTGTGATTTCCTCTCTTCTGTGCTTGCAGCATAGCCTGCAGTGACCGTTGTGGCACTTCACACCCACTTCGTGGTTTGGGACTCTCCACCTACAGGAGCAGAGCCAGCTGCTTCAGCAGCGATTTTGGGCTGCCCAGATCTTTATCTTCCTGAGGGCTTCACACCTGAGCCCTGTGACCCTCAGATTCTGGGAAGCCAAATCATTACTGCCTTACCATTAGTGTCCCAACTTTTGGGTTTCCACCTCTTTCTTGGCCTGTTAGCTCCTGTACAAAGGTGCATGTGTGTGTTTCATCTCTGGTCCCCTCCTGCCTTGTTCTCTGTGGAGCTGCTTGCCCAATTGTTTGCTTTCTCCTTTATTTTTCTAAAACTTGTTATGTTCTCCTGAGGACAAAGCTCCTCCAGGCTGACCCATGATGTCCAGGGCCTTTTCCTCAGATGCTAAGGTTTTTTTGAAAACACTGTGTGAGGAGTAGGTGGTGGTGACAGAGTTGTGGATCTGAAGTTCTGGTGCCTATTTGCAGTGACTCTCTAGGGCATCACAGGATGTCCTCCTTTTGGAGAGGTAGTATGGAATGAAAGAAGGAATGTGATTGCTTCCAGCAGCCCCTCACTGTGTGGGGGTTGAGCCAGGGACAGAAGTTTTGTTTAGCAGGGCTCTGTCAGCTCAGGGTCAGACACGTGCAGAGCTGCTCTGTTCTGTCTCTCTGCAGGTGACCGAAAGCTTCCTCAGCAAAGAAATCACCTGTGTGGTGTCCAGCAACAGAGAGGCCAAGCGGGGCCAGGCCAGGACTCGGGAGGAGAAGCAGAGCAGCCCAACTGCAGAAGGCACAAAACCCACGAGCTCCAAAGGGAACCCAGCCAGACCTCGCCAGAAGCCACCATACACTGTAAGAGCTACAAAGGGGTCTGCAGGGTAGAATCTGGGGCCAGTTTTAGAAAGTGAAGATGTTCCTGTTCTGAGCAAATATTCTGTGTGGTTTTTTTTTCCCTGCTCTATTCCTGTTTCCCTGGCTGTTCCTATTCATACTCTTGTTCCTTGTCTGCCATCATTGTCTACTGAAATGTTCATGTCACAGCTTTGGGCTGTAATCAAGGAAATCTGCTGGAATGGCAGAGGAGGTAGAGGCCTTGGCTGACTTCCTGAGGGAACAGGCAGAGGTGCGGTAAGAAAAGCCAGAGAAATGTAGACCAGAGAAAACCACTGCAGTCTCTGGGTACTCACAGACTCAGGGCAAGGCATCTGTACCCTGGGAGGAGATCCATGAGGGCCTCCTGCAGGAAGGGGCTTCCTCTGGTCCCAGTTGCCTGTTGGAGCTGGACTTTCTGCTCACAAATGCTTGTGGCCAAACTCCAGCATCCTTCCTTGAATGCAGTGTCTGCTGGAAGCTGTGACTGGGGAAAGGCAGCTGGCCCTGTCTGGGCCTGGGGAATCTGCCAGCTGGAGCTGAACCACCTGAGCTGCAGGGGTTTGTCCCAGTTTTTGTCCCCTGTCCTGGCTCCCAGCACTGTCCCTTGTCTTACAAAGAGCTGAACCAATCTGCTGAGATCATTGGCTTGAAAATAAGGCTCCATTTCCAGGATGTTCCTAACCCTGGCCAGCATGTTGGGATGCCTGGAGAACAGGAGGCTCAGGGGGGACCTGATTTGTCTGCAACTCCCTGACAGATGGGGTTTGGTCACTTATCCTGGGTAACAAGTGACAGGACAAGAGGAAACAGCCTCACGTTGTGCTAGGCAGGTTTAGATTGGATGTTAGGGAAAGCTCCTTCATGGAAAGGGCTGTCCAACCCTGGCACAGCTGCCCAGGACAGTGGTGGAGTCCCCATCCCTGGAGGGATTTAAAAAAACTGTGTGGGTGTGGCATTTGGGGACAGGGGTCAATGGTGACCTTGGCCATGCTGGAGAAGGGCTGCACTTGATGACCTTACAGGGCTTTTTCAGCCAGATGAATTCCATGATGTAGCAGGCACTTTCCAAGCTAAATTGCTGCTCACTCTGGAGCCTTCATTTCCCTGCTGGTCAATAATTCCAAGCCTTGGCTGATGCTGCTGCTGGTGCAGTTGAGTGGTCCTCCCTGCAGTTTGCATTCCCTGGACAGGCTCTCTGTGCTGGCAGAGGTGAGCCCAGCAGAGTGTGGGGATCCCCAGGGATTTTCTGCCCAGCTCTTTGCCATGAGCTGCTCACGTCTCCTCTCTCCACAGGCGCTGCTGAGCCGGGGGAAGGAGCTGCTGCACAAGGCCATGAAGAACCAGGTGAGCAGCTTTGGACGGGCTCTGCTGGGGCTGGGTGTGCTCAGAGTTCTGCTGAGCAGAGCAGAACCAGTGCCAGCCTTCCTGCAGAGCCCCTGCCCTGCTGACAGAGCAGATCCTGAGGCTGGGAAAGGCACAAAGCAGTTGCTTGTGGCCTGCAGAATGTTGTGTAGTGCTCCTGGTCACTGCTCTTTATGAAGCCATGTCATCCAGTGTTGTACCTCTAAGGCTTGTCCCAGCCATCTGGGTACTCAACACAAGAGAATTATTAACACAAGGCCTGTTGGTAGATGAATTTTTAGCCTAAGAAGAACTAAAGCAATGTAGCTGGGGCAAAAGGCTCCCCTGCAGTCCTTTCCCTGAGGTCACAAGTGGCCTGAGATAAATCTCAGTGCCCACAGGGATTACACATTTGCCCAAGATGCTGCTGTTAATTTGGGCTGGATAAAGCAAGAGTTCGATCCTTTACTGCTGTGCCCTGATTTTTATAACAGCCGTGCAGTGCTCTGTCAGTTGGGCAGCAGGAAGGGCCCTGAGCTCAGTTTAGAGCTGCACGTGGCTGTGCTTTGAGCTGTGCTTTGCCAAACCTCTCTGTACAGGACACCTGCAGTGGCAGCAGCATCCTCGCCAACGCTCGCCTGTGGGGAGTCCAGATCCTGCATGTGGATGGTATCCTTCTCTGTGGGGTGCAAGGAGGCTGCTGGCAGTGAGGCATTTTGGAGACAGGTGGAGCAGAAGTGATGTAAGGAAAGTAGAACAGAAGGAAGAAATTGCAAGCAAATATCCTGGAGTGATGCCATCCTGGCCGAGGCCAGGTCTGCCCTCAAACCAGATTTGTGTGTACAGAACGTGCCACTGTCACATTTGCAACAGCAAACACAAGGTACATTGTAATGTACTGAAGGTGGAACACTAGGAATGTCAGTATCTTGGTCAGTACATCAATTTGTTCCAAAAAGACCCTTTTTGCTAATTAACCTGGAAGTATGATCGTGGCAAGGGCAGGATTTGGTCAGGATTAATTAGGAAGTGCTGGTGTTTGAGGACCTGTTCTGGAAGGCACCTCCTGTCCCCATGATGGATGGGGAGGGGGTGATGGGAAAGACAAATGGTGGAACTCTGGTACTAATAATAGGTCTGGAGTAAAAGGTTCTGAGTGTCTGATGACAGTGACATACAGCTGTGGCTGAGCCTGTCTGGATCATGTCCCTGGGCTGTGTTTGGCCTCTGGGGCTGCCAGAGCTCAGGCTCTGCTCTGTGTGCTGCAGAGCTCCTGCCAGTGTCTCCTTCCTGCAGAGCCCCAGCAGCCTCCAGCTCTGCTAGAGAGCAAATGGGGGGCTGTCCCTCCAAATGTTCTCTTGGCTTCATCTTGGACAATTCCCTGGGGATGATGCTCTGCCAGGGGCTGCAGGCTCTGGCTTTTGCTGGTGCCACGGGGGGTGTGCTGCAGTCTGAGGGGAGAGCTCCCTTCCCTGCCTGAGTTTTGGCTCTTTGACATCCCACCTGCACAGAAATGTTGTCCTATGCCCAGCAGCTGCTGCGAGCCATCTCAGGAACAAGGAAGCAGTGCCAGAAGACAGAGGTAACAATTTCACTGCAGCCAATTTCAGGAGTTCAGGGCTCCTGGGCAGCTTTGAACAGTTCTTGCAGCAACTTCAGTGCCAGTGGGCCAGTCAGAGGGGTGCTGGATCCAGTCTTGTGCTTGTGTTGGTGATGCAGATGAAGAAAATTCAAAGAATTTTTCCTTTTATAAAGCTGGGGGTAAATCCAGATGAGAATGAGGCAGCTGTATAGCACTGCTAATGCTGGCTTTGACCCTAAGGGGCTAAGGGTCATGGCTTAAGTTGCCATGCCCCAGGTGGCAACTCAGCCTCACACAGCCACCCTCTGGGATCTCCCTGGGGTGGGGAGAGAACTGGGAGAGAAAAAGTGAGAAAGCTCATGAATTGAGATAAAGATGGTTTAGCAGGGAAAGCAAAAACCACACACACGGGCAAAGCAAAGTAAGATGATGATGTGGCTGGTACACTGGCTTACCAAAGGATTGGCTAATGGATTGGAGAGGTCAGGGGGAAGGTGCAATGTAAGGACAGGGCGTGGCAGCCTTTATGTTCTATTTCAACTAAAAAAAAAATTAAAAATTTTTATTCCAACTAAAATAAAAAAATATCTAATTTTCCTTGGGTAACTTGGGAGACAAAATGAGGGGAGGTAGTCTGGGTGGTACAGGAGCTCTGAAGTGGTGGGTGAGGCTGCTGCTGCTCTGGGACCAGTAACTGCAGCTCTGCTTGTGCTGCTCCCATGCTGAATATGTCCCTTTTTTCTCTAGGTGAAATGCCCTGCTTCCAGATCCAAAATTCACAAAGGTAGGCCTGGAAGTTGTGCTGCTGTTTATGCTCAGATGTGGAGCTGCTTGGAGAAGCCTCATTTAGAATTTGAAATACATCAAAACCTTTGACAATCCCAAAATATGCCAACTCTTTAGGCAGTTCCCCTTGAATGGGTTCTATTACTCCTTGGTGGAGTCTGGCTGCAGCCTCCCAGGGCAGCTGAGGACCTTTGATTTCACACTGTGTTTAAAAATCCTAAAAACCCTTTGCTGCCAGCTCCCAGAATCCCAAGGCACCTGAGAACAGTGCTGCTGCACATTGAATCCAGCAGCTTAAAGGAGATTTTGAGGAATAAATGCATCCTGCAGAGAAGAGCGTGTTCCTCCCAGCCCACTCACTTCTGTTGGGCTGAGATGTGCTGCTGAGACACCGATCTGGGGATGGCACTTCCCAGGGAGGAGGGAGGGGGAGCAGCCAGGTTCTCATCTGCAATTAGACAAGAGCCAATTGTGGTGCTGAAATTGGCACTGCTGACGTCAGCTGATCTGTGCCTTGTTTGACTCCAGCATTGGAGAGTGAGTGCTCGGGAATGGTTTGGAGCAGACTCCAACCTGGATTGTGTGTGAGACACTTGGGAGTTATTTCCCACTTTGGGGTGGGGGAAGGTGCTGAAGGAAGGCTCAAGAAGCTGTTGGATGTGGCAGATGGAGCCTGCAAGCTCTGAGATGTGGGCACACTCTGAGCCTGGCCTGGCTGGGCAGTGGCATCAGAGCCATTTGGCCCTGGTAGGATTGCTCAGGACCTGCACACCCATCTGAGGTGGATCTGGGGCTTGCACGTGGCCTCTGGCTCAGAAGTGCTGAGCATTTGGCAGTGTTTACATGGGAAAAACTTGATCTTGTACTGAAATAGCTTCAGTGATGTAGCAGCACATTTGAGGCAAGCAGAGGGTGAGGCTGGTGAGGACAGGTGGGCTCAGCCTTTCTGGGGAAGGAGGGTGAAATATCTTTGGAAAAAATAGCATTGAGTGCCAGGATCACAAGAAAACAAAACTCCTCGCCCTTCAGAGGCCATGAGGGAGGCAGGAGAGGCTTGGTTTCAGGGTCAGGCAGATGCCCTGTGGGAACACCTCGGTGTTTATTTGTTTCTTAGCCAGATCAGGACTCAGGTTTCCAAGGTGAACGTAATGTGAGTGGAACGTACCTGCAGGACAGGAGGGACCTTGGAACCTCCCCCTCCCATCCTGGCTCTGAAAACCTTTTCCCTCAATGCACTGCTGAGACTCTTTTGCTCTCTTCATCTATTTTATGCCTCCATAGGAAGCAAAGCTGCTGTTTGCCCTCCTCAGGAACTGAGCAGAGGCCAGATACTGCTCTCGAGTAGTGTCCTGCTGCCAGGCTTGGCTGGGCAGCACCTTGGTTTGTCTCCAGCATCTCTTGCTGCTTTGACATCACCATCCTGGCCAGAGGCAGGGTGAAGAGCCAGGTTCTGCACTTGAGGCAGGGTGAATGAGGGAGAGGTGCTGGAATTTGTTGCAGAGCTCTGAGCCAGGGCAGCAGCCATTGCAGTTCCCGAGTTCCCTTCTCATATCCATTGGCACATTGTGGGGGGTTTGTGTGACAATTCTTGGGTTTGGAGTCAGAAGGCTCGGGGTTAGGCCAGTGGCTTTAAGACTGGGGAGGCATTGAAGATGTGAGGGGATGGCTGAATACTCTAAAAGGTGGACATGTCCCATGGTTGGGCTGTCTGGGGTTTGGTCACTCCACTGCACACTTGGGGCCAGGGCTGTTGAAGATCACCTAAAGAGCCGTTTTGGTTGTGCTTAGCCACCACTTGACATTCACCAGTGCCAGAAGTTCTGATGTGCAGTGCAGTGCACTCAGCTCTGGAGCCCAGTTCTGTTGGGGAGTGAGTGACTAAGTAGGGAATTTGGCCAGGAAAACTAACAAGGTTTCTCTCTGGCAGGAAAATTGAAGCCCCCTTTTCTCAAAGTTGAAGACCAGAGCAGGTAAATTCTAAATATCCTACTCTAAAACCTTGGGATCTCTCCTTTACTGGTTTCATTCCCAGGGACTGTTGTGCCCATGAGGCAGAGTCTGGCTTCTGTGCAGACCCTGTTCCACACTGGGAAGTTGACTCTCTCCTAGAGGGAGGCAGATGGAGTATAGAGAAACAATCCAGGTGTCTTGTGTGTCAGGGAGAAAAGAGGTGTTAAACGAGACTTGACAGCAGTTTGCTTCCTTGCTCAGTTTCCGTGTGTGATCCTCAGCAGGTCACTTAATCCACCCAAGCTCTCGGCAGTGAGGAGTGAGATTGAAGCACAGGAGGTCAGGGCCTGTAACGTGATGACAGCCTTGGGCACAGGGGACCTGATCCCTGTGGTGTTTCTGAGGAGTCTGTAACTCTACCAGCATCCACAGGGCCAATTAATTATTCCGAAGGCAACATTTAAGGCATCTCAATTAAGAGTCAAACATTGGGGTTTACATGCTGGATGCAATGAAATGTGAGGGGAGAGATGTGGCCTGGGAATCAAAACCCTCCTGTGCTGTGGGGTGGCTGGAAATAGTGCACTGCTCTGCCCTGGGGTAAAAGGTGGAATTTGGGCTGAGCAGGCAAACTTGCCTTCTGCCCAAAACATGCCCCATTGGGACTGTTACTGGGAACTGGGTTTAACGCTTTCAGTGAGAAATGGGAACTCTGGCACAGCCACAGGAGAGCACTGAGCAGCATCTCACCATAAATGAGGTGGCACCTTGAGCCCTTCCAGGAGGGAGTTATGGACAGCTCTGAAGCCTTGCCAGCACTGCCATGAGTCTGATGTCCTGATCTGCTGCTTTCAGGCAATTCCGGCCCTTCCATCACCAGTTCCAAAGCTTTCCTGACCTCAACTTCTTGGCACCCAAAAGCTCCAGCCCGTTTGAGCCCCTGAAAAGCCTCTCCAATTCCTGCCAAGCCAGGTAAGCTGTAGCTCCTTCTGTGCAAGTGTTTAACCCCTCTCCTGCTCACTGCTGGTTCCTGGGATCTGGGAACCACCTGCCCTTGGATGTGGGCACCAGGAGTCCTGTGCTGGGTCCCTGGTGGCCCTGCCAGGCAGGGTGACCCCGGTGCTGTCCCTTGCAGGGGTGCTGAGGGTTGTGCCCTGCACAGCACACACATCACCGTGCCCAGGAAAAGGAGGGGTTTTTGTGAGTGCTGCCAGGAGACCTTTGAAGAGCTGCAGAAGGTAAAGGTTCCCCTGGGACCTGGTTCCTTGCAAGAGTTATGGGGGGCACTCAGAGGCTTTGTTAATCATGTCATGCCTGTTTGTACTATGAACTCCTTTGGGAGGAATTGCTGTATCCAGCAGGGTCTGCCTGTGAAATGGGAACATGGCATATCTGTGTGCCCATGCCAGGTCAGAGCACGGTGGGTTTGAAGGTTGGAGCACAACATGCTCCTCTCTTGGGGTGCAAGAGCCTCAAGGATCATCCTGCCACATGACCCGTAAGGTGAAGAGGCTGTTCCATGGCAGCCATGGGGCACGGGTGGATTGAAAAGGTGGGAGGAAGTTTTTTTTCTCCTGGAAGGTGCCAAGCAAGGGGGCTTTCAGAGCCCAGCTGTTAGTGCCAGACAGTGGTGGTGGGGTCTATTTCCTGCTGCTGGGGAGGCTGTGGGCTGCTCTTGGATCCAGACACAGCTTCCTCATCAGCAGGGAGCAGGGCACTCTGTGTGCTCCCAAACCTGCCAGACATTGCCTCTGTCCCTTTGCCCTCTGGTCTGTTAGGCTGTGGGAAGTGCCTGTTACTGCAAATTCCCCTCCTGGCAGAGCTTGAAGTGTTGTTAAATAAAAGGCCTGTGCCACCTTCCAGCATCTCCAGAGCCCCCAGCACCAGCGCTTTGCCCAGGACAGCTCCCAGTACATCCCTGTGGATCGTGTCATCTCCCAGCTCACCAACAGCTTTGAGGAGTGGTCAGCCAGGTAAGTCTGGGAATCTGGGAGCTCCTGGAGCCCAAAGCCAGCAGGTGCTGCATGGCACATTCATGGGATGGATCCCTCTGCCTCAGAGTCGGAGGCTGAAGCAGGACCAACTTGGCACCTGCTGGGCAAAGCTTAGACAAACTGTGGGAGATGTTCCTGCATTCCCATGGGTTTCCTCCTTCAGGGAGCTCCCCATGGACTCCTGCTGCCTCCTAAACTAGAAAGGGCAGCTGAACTCGCCTCTTCTGTCCCTGTGTCTTACTCAAACTCTGCTGCTCTGTACCCGCCCTGTGCCTGGGCACTGGGCTGAGGAGGCTGAGACCTCTTGTGCTGCCCATCTCTGCCAGGAGCAGAGTCATTCTGAGCCTCATCAGGCTAAAAGTGCTTCCCTGCTTCTGAGCAAGGGCTGCAAACACTCTGCACTGCAGGAGAGGCCCTTTCTCCCTGGGGAGGGGGATGTTGCTGGGGCTGGGTGAGCATTAACTGATGGTTCCTCTCAGGGTGCCGTGGTCCTGCCTGGCAGATGAACGTGTAATGCCTCAAGCACGCAGCACTGGAGGAATCGAGCTGCCAGCAGAGCTGGGAAAGGAAGTGGAGCAGCCTGAGCAGGGTGCTGTGGAACTGGTAACAGATCCAGAGCTGGATCATGGCCTGAAGACCAAGGGATGTTCCCCCTGCCTTCCCAGGGACAGGGTCAGAGATGCCAGAGGAGGCTTGTCAAAGCACAGCTCCCTGCAGCTGCCCAAGGCAGCAGGACTCGGCAGGGTCTGTGCTGCCCATGGCACCATGGGGGAGGCTGGGCTGGGGGCTTCAGATTCAGGCTTGGCTCTTGAGCTGGGCTGGGGGCCTCGTACAGCACCCACTCCTGTCAGAGAGGCAATGGTTTCTTCATCTGAACCTCATACACAGGCTGGGTCTGTCAGCCACCCTCCCCAAGCACAGCCTGCCTCCAGGAAGCGCCAGCTGTGCTCCAGACAGAGCTCCCAGGTGGGCAAGAGGCCCAGGCTGGAGCTGGGTTTTGGCCTCTCCCCTGCGGGTGAGCAGACGGAGCCGCTGGGTGGTGGGATGGGGGCACAGGGGGCAGGGCAGGTGTCTGAGCCAGGCCTGCCCCTGGGCACAAAACTCTCCAAGAGACCTCACGGCTCCCTTGCTTTGGATCTGTGCCTGTGTGAGAGCCCTGGGGACCCTGTATGCCAGCCGGGATCCCCGGGAGCTGTGGCTGCGGGTTTTGATCCTGGGGTTGTCACTGTCAGCGAGCATGGCTGGAGCAGGGACAGATCCCACGGGAAGCAGCGAGGAGAGGACAGTGACAACACACCCAGGCATGGGAACAGGCCTGGTCTGGAGAGCACAGCCAGCAGGACCAGCTGCCCTGCTGGCTGCCTGCCCTGTCCCTCAGTGCCTGTGGCTGAAGGCAGATGTTGCTGCTCACTCCGTGTCAGGGCAGCAGAAGAAGCAGCCCCTGGAGCTCCCGACGTCCCCAGGCAGGGCACAGAGCGGGCACAGAGCCCCGGCCTCCTTCCCTCTGCTCCCCAGAGCCCAGAGGCTGCTCACGGCTTCAGCAGGAGCTCCTTGCAGTCAGACTGGGATGTGCAGCTGCTCTCCAGCCCCACGAGTGTCCAGGACCACAGTTTTCCAGCTGTGGATGGGAACTTGGTGCAGCAGACACGGCTCAGTGTGAGGGACAGCGGGTACGAGTCTCAGCTCTGCTCGGTGGTGAAGAAGTCAGAAGTGGCCTGGGCAGGCCAAGAGGACAAGGACTGCAGGAACTGCTGCACAGACACCAGAGGAGCCTCTTTCCCCATGTTTGGGACGTTTGGCAGCTAGAACCACCTCCAGGCTGCTCTCTGGACCCTTTGTGGGAGCTGACAGGGGAGTGGGAGGGATTTACCAAGGCACCCTCTGTGTCAGCATCAGGAGCCACATCCAGGAGTGAGGACAGTGCCAGCAGCCTGGGCAGCTCTCCCGGTGGGAATTGATGGAGATGCAGTGCCTTTGCTGTCCTTGGCTGTGATCTTCCCTTCTCTCTGCTGGCCATGTTTAGAGCCAGCAGCTTCCTCTAAGTCTTCACAGGCTGCTGCCACAGTGGTGCCTCCTCAGGTCTCTCTTCAATGGCAATGTGCTCTTTGCCCTTCCAGAGGGAGAGCAGAGCCTGTTCTTCCTTTCACATGGTCCCCAGAGCTGCAAAGACTTAGGGGAGGAGGGTCATGGGGATGAGATTTGTGCTCCTCGTGTGGTCTGGGGGTTGTCCTTGAATATTTTCAGGTGGTTTTAACTTGCTTGGGGTGTTTCTTTTATGAACTTCTGAATTTTGAAATAAAATGGAGGGATGAGATCCTGCTCTGCCTTCCTCTGCGGGTGGAATGTGTCTGGGGGCAGGAGCAGAACACTAGGGCTTGGGTGAAGGAAGCTTTGCTGGAAGGGGTCTGTGGGCAATGGGTACCATGATGAAGGGGGGCACAGAGGTTTGTCCAGTCCTGTTGGGGATTTGCCTGAGGCCTGGGGTCAGCAGGCCCTGGGAAGCTGTTGTTACCCAGTGCAGGGGTGGTGCCCTTGGCCTGTGTGACCAGAGCTCCAGGGTGACCCCTGTGAGACTGGGATACCTCCTGGTAGTGAGCTGATCTGGGAGATTAGCAGTTGTCTTTCACCAAGCCTGGCCCTTCCAGGGAGGGGAGAGGCACCCCCAGGTGCTACCTGCCCTCTCCTCATGCTGACCAGTGACTTACACCATGGAGTCCCTGGGCTGGGGGGACTGAAGCAGCTGCTTCATGGCCCCTTGGGGGCCCTGTAGGCTTTGGCTCAGGTGTTCAGGCTGGACATACAGAATCTTGGAATGGTTTGGGTTGGAAGGGACCCTAAAGGACATCCAGTTCCACCCCCTTCCCGGGGCAGGGACACCTTCCACTAGAACAGCTGTTTCCTGGGGCAGGGTGGAGATCCACGCTGGCCGAGCACCTCTTTGGCCCTGGAGTGCTGAGGACCACCAGAAGGGCACTGGGATGGACTGTCCCCCTCGGGCTGGCAGCCTCAGAGCTCCTGAGGAGCCAAGCAGGTGCTGGATCATCTCTGCTGCACCTGATGCTCCAGTTCCTTCCCTCACTGCATCGAGGAAGAGGAAGGTCCAAGGGCAGTAGGTCCCAGTTTGGAAGCTCTGCCTGCTCCATGCTGATCTGCCTCAAAAGGACCATTGCCAGCCAGGAACCCCTTGAGAGTGGCTGAGCAGGCGCTTCCTGGAGCCTGTTCCTGTGCAGCCCCTAGAGCCCCCCAGGGAGATGTCCCTGTGTGTGAGTGCCAGCCCCCATTGCACGGCCTGGGGGGAGCTTTGAGCCCCCCAGTCTGAGCATGGCCCTCAGCACATCCTCTGCCCAAACCAGGCTGAGATGCAGCTGCCTTTCAGGTTTTGGTTCCTGACACCTCTGCCAGTGCTGGGGGTAATGGGCTGAGCTGCAGAGGGACTTGTTGGAGTGGTAACATAAAATAGGCCAAAAAGTTCCAAAAAGGTTGTCCTGGAGGAGAGCGAGGGATGTGAACTGGGAGTTCAGGGCCCCCAGTGTACTCTTTTGAGGGAGGTCCAGGACCTTCCTAAGGCAACCGACCTCTGGGATGAGCTGGGGCCATGAAGCATCTGCATTGTCCCCTCTCTGGACCACGTGGTGACTCAGCCTCAGCTGAGCCCTTGTCCCCTCAGACACAGGCAGAGATTGCCCATCGCCCTCCACAGGGAGCCCGGATGCTCTGGGCACCTCCAGCAGGAAGAGCCAGGGCTGGTGCTCTCCAGGTCTGTGTCCCACCTCAGTCCTGAGGGAATAATCCCCACTCTGTGATGGTTGGTGCATCCATCACCTGAGGCTGGAGCCCCTGTGCCCTCCAGGAAAGCCCCTCCTGGGGGTGCCTGTGGCTGTGCTGCCTCCCCCATGAGCTGTGTCACTCTCCATGCTGCTCTCCCCCACTCTTACTGCAATAAAACAAACAGGAATTTACTGGGGCTTGTCTCCCTAAAATTGTTCCATTACCACCAGGAGGGGACACAGCCTTGCAGCTCCCCTAAAATCAGAGCAGAAAAGCACTCCTGGTTCTGGTGCTTCCTGATGATGGGGACCCCATAGAACCCTTGGGTGACATCAGCCACCCACTGGGGATGGTCCAGAATCGCCCCATGTCCCCAGGGCTGTGAGCACCAGCACTCCCTGCTTTCAGCACCATCCCCTTGGAATCCTCAGCTCCATCCACAGCCGGGCTCCCACAGCCAGCACCAGCCCTGGCACCAGGCAGGGGCTCAGTTCCAGCGGGGGGTGGTGCTGGTTGGGGGCTTCAGTCGCAGCTGGGGGGCTCTGAATTATAGTGTGGGTCCTGGTACTGGTGGGAAGCACCAGAATAATCTGTAGGGGCTCTGGGACTGGCTGGGAACCAGCTGGACACTGGGAACCAGCTGAGGAGAACACGGTACAAGCTGGGGGCCTCCAGTCCCAGCTGGAGGCCCTGGACTGGCTGGGGAGCCCGGTACTGGTGTTGGGACTGGCTGGAGGGGCTGCTACTGGTGTGGGGGTCCTGCACTGCCTCGGGGAATGAGGGGCAGCAGTGGCTGAGGGGATTCGATTCTGTCTCGAGGTTCCAGATCTCGGGAGGTCCAGTGTTGACTGGGGATTCTCCTACTGGTGTTCCTGTCCTGGCTTGGTGAGGGGAGGGGGTCTGATCCTGCCTGGCACTGTCTGGCACTGTCTGCTCCACTCCAGTCCCTGCTGGTGCGAGGTGCCCAGCACCGGCCGGGGGCTCCGGTACCATTCCGGGGGGTGACGCGACCGGGAGCTCCGGTACCGGCCGGGGGTTGCTGCCGGCCCGGGGGTGATGCCAGCGGGGCTCCGGTGCTGCAGTGCCGCGGGTGCCAGCGGCGCTGCGGCAGCTGGGGCGGGGAGGGTGGAAGGGGCCGGTACCGGGGGCGGCGGGGCCGGGCGGGGCGGGGCGGGCCCGGGGCGGCGCTGCCGGTGCCGCTGCCGGCGCTGCCGGTGCCGGTGCCGGTCCGGTCCGGCGGGCCCGGGGCCGCGTGCGGGCGGGGCGGGGGCGGCGCTGCCGGCCCGGCCCGGGGCGGGGGGGCCGGACGGGACGGTGACGGTCCCCGGCGCGGCGGGCCCGGCGCGGCCGCTGGCGGAGCATGAGGGAGCCATGAGCCCGCTGCGGGGGTGGCTGCTGGCCGCGCTGCTCTCGCTCGCCCCGCGGGCAGGTAGGTCCGGACCCGCTCCCGCTCCGGCATCGCCCCGGTATCGGCCCCGCTCCCGGCCCCGCATCGCGCCCGCCGCGCTCCCGGCCCCGCATCGCCCCGCTCCGCTCCCGGCCCCGCCGCCGCCGCTGCGGCTTTTTCGCTGCATCGACACATTTTTCCGCAGCGCCGCCCCGCAGAGCCCCGGGAGGGGCCGGGCCCGCGATCCCCCCGCACCTGCCCGGCCTCGGCCCCGCAGCCCCGGCTCCGCACCTGCCCCGGCCCCGCACCGGCCCCTCAGCCCCGCGTCCCCCCCCGGCCCCGCACCTGCTCCGGCCCCGCGCCCTCCACCGCGCTGTCCCCGCAGCCCCCGCCGTGTTTCCTCTCCGGAGGTGGCCGCATAGCAGCCACCCGTGTCCCCTTCAGGTTGTGTCCCCATCTCGGCTCCCCCGTTCCCTGCATGTCCCATAGATGTCCTCATTGCAGCCCTCCACGTCCCCTTGGGTTGTGTCCCCATAGCGGCCGCCCCCCGTGTCCCCTGGCTGTCACCTCCAAAGGTGTCCCTGCACCAGTCCTGCTGTCCCCTCGTTGTCCCTTCTAGGGGGGGGTGTCCCCATACCAGTCTTCCATCTCCCATTCGGTGGTGTCCCCATCCCGGCCCTCTCTGTCCCCTGGGTGTCCCCTCTGAGATGTGTCCCCATTCCAGCCTCCCCTTTTCCCTGCATGTCCCCTCCAGAACATGCTGCCCCCGCCCAAACCTTTCCTCCAGGTGTGATGGCATTTCTGAACCCCCTCTGCCCTGCATGGTCCCCTCTGGGATGCATCACTTTATCAGCCAGCTATGTCCCCTGTGTGTCCCCTCCAGGACATGCAATGTATCAGAGACCTCATGAGCTTCCCCCCAGATGTATTCCCCTGCTGGTCACCCCCATCCCCTGGGCATCCCTCCCAGCCCGTGCTTGCTGGGTGTCCTCTCCCGGGCACACCAGCGTGCCTGGATGTTCCCCAGCTGTACATCCTGGGACAATCCCTGTACCCACCCTCCCTGTTCCCTGGGCATCCCATCCAGGACACGAGTGTCCTCTTCTGGATGCAGTGCCACACTTGGGCCACCCCCTGAGCATGTTCACCAACTCTGTCCCCTTGTGTTCCCACCCCTGCGTGTTCCCATCTCCCTATCCCTCCTCGTCCCCAGCCCTCCACGTCCCCTTGTCCCCAGCCCCTGTGTCTCCATCCCTTCTCCTCCCCAGGCCCCCAGCCCTCCCAGGATGCCCACGACCCTGTCCCCTGTCCCGCAGGTGCTGCCGCGCAGGCCGGAGCTCTGCCGCGGAGGCTCCCGCGGGCCGCATGGCAGGAAGGGCGGGTGGTCTCCCAAATCACCCACCCCAGCAGGCTGGTGGGGCAGAGCTCGGGTGGAGAAGTCCCAAAGCATCAGTTGGACACCAGGGTCAGGCATGAGCCCGGAGGAGGAGAAGGTGGAGGACCCGTAAGTGAGCGACAGCCCCCAATCCGCTCCCTTCCCGGGGTCCCTGACAGGTGGCAGGTCCAGGTCCCCAGGCAGCCACCGTCGCTGGCCCAGCCACACCCCAGCGTGTGCGCCGTGCCGGCAACCCGAACTGGAGCCCTCGTCCCCCAGGGACCATCCCGCTGCCATGCTGCCCGGAGGGACACTGAGTTGTGCCGAAAAATCCCATTAAATCTGGGAACCAGCGGCGCGTGGGTATTGGGAGAGATGAAACGGGAGCGGGCAGGTGGCGAACGGGGCTCCCACAGGAACGGACTCGTGCATCCGGCAAGGACGGATTGAGGCCGCGCTATGGGAGTGGCCCCCGTGTCCCCCCAACGCTGCTCCCCAGAGCACCCCCATGGGTGACCATGGCTCCGTGGGGTGACCTTCACCCCATCGCTGGCTGTCCCGGCGTTTCGGGGAGCAGCACACGCGCCCCATCCGGCACGGGGGAGTTGCGGTGTTGGCAGCCGCGGGGGCCGGCGCCCATCGATCCCGTCCGCGCCGGATAAAGGCGAGATGAGGAGCTGCTCTCGCCGCAGAGGTGATTTACACCCGGCGTCGAGTGAAACCGCCGGAGCCGGGAAGCGCCGGCAGCCGCCGCGCTGGCGAGGGGCCAGGGAGATGTTAAGCTACGGTGTCGCGATGGGAGGGAGCGGCGGAGATCCTGGGGAATTCGGGGCTGGGCCAGGCGGCAGAGCCCTCTCCGGCAGTGCTGCCGGACCCCAGGGATGCGGTTGGGGCCCGGGACATCTCCTCCCCGTGATGACAGACTGCTCCTCATCCCTGTGTCCTCATCCTGAGCTGCGCCGGGTGACCAGCAAGGGGACAGGGAATGTCAGGAAGGGTTTGGCTTTTCTGCCGTTTCCCCGTGTGAAGCACCGGTGCCGGGCTCTCTCTCACCCGTGCGCCGAGTTTGCGGGGTCTGAGGCCGCGCCGCAGCGCTCGGCTCCCGCTGCCGGCGGCAGGAATCAGGAATTAGGTCAGGAGCGGCGGCGCCGCAGGGCGGGAGAAGCGGCGGCTCGGCTGGGCTGGGCCCAGCGCCGGGGGGACCCTCCGGCACCCCGACCCCAGCACGGCACCCGCGGAGGGGGCGATGGGACGCAGGTGCCATCCCAGCGCTCCAGGGGTGATGGGTTTAAAAAAAAACCACGGTTTTTCTTCATGCTGAATTTTTCGGTTAAAAAAAAAAAAGAGCGCATCTTCACAGGCTGCGTATTTGGGTTGGGGTTTTAATTATTGTTTTAGGTATGAATTTTTTGGGGGGCTGACGGCTTTGGCTGTCCTGCAGGGGCTGCACCTGGCACAGGTGAGCTTCATGGTGCGTGCCTTCGGCTCAGCCTTCACCCTCGATCTCCGGCTGAACCAGTGAGTGACCCGGGGGTCCTGGCGGGGGAGCCACCATGGGGCTGCTGGTGGCCCCCGGGAGGAGGGGAGAAGCTGGGGGTGCTCGGGGATGGGGGAGTTGTGCAGAACAGTGGGGGCTGAGCCGGGGGGGTGGAGCAGAGGAGAGAGAGACCCATGGGATGCCAGCGCCCTCCCAAACTAAGGGGTCCCATGCCGAGGCGATTCCTTGTATATGGATAGTGGGTGGTTCCCCGCACCGGGGTGGTGCCCTACACATGGATCGCTTCTGTCTTCTCCTTCTTCCTCCTCTTCCTCTCCACCCCACGGCCTCTCACCCCCCACCTGCTCCCGGCAGCCACCTCCTCGCCTCCCACTACGTGGAGCGGCACGTCGGCGCGGGCAGCAACAGCAGCCACAGCACGGTAAGATGTGTGCCATGCTGTGCCAAACCACGCCGTGCCAAACCACGCCGTGCCGTGCTGTGCCAAACTACGCCATGCTGTGCCACGCCATGCTGTGCCATACTGTGCCAGTGCAGGGGTTGTGGTGGCCAGTTCATAAATCCCACAAAGCCCAGGAATGGTCCCCAACAGCTCAGCATCCGCCACCTGCTGCCCCTGGGTGCCCAGCCCCTGCCTGGGCGATGCTGCCATGGTGCTGGGGGATGCTCCTCGAGCGGGGGATCCCTGCGTGCTGTGGGCACCAGGCACACCCTGGGGGTCCCTGGCAGTGAACCCCAGAGCCCCGAGCCTGGTGCGGCCCCTGGGGGTGCGGGGCAGGGCGGGACCCGAGGCTCAGCCCGTCCCCACTCCGCAGGGGGCAGGGGAGCACTGCTACTACCAGGGCCGGATCCGGGGGCAGCCCCGCTCCTTCGCCGCTCTCTCCAGCTGCCAGGGCCTGCGGTGAGTACCCCACTGCCCACGGGGGCTGGGGGCTGCACCCCTCTGCACCCCGACACGCCAACCTCTGTTTGCAGCGGGGTCTTCTCGGACGGCCGAGCCACGTACCTGATCGAGCCCCAGGCGGGCGCCGAGCACGGGCAGGTGAGCGGTGGCACTGCCATGAGCCCTCCTGAGCACCCCAAGGCAGATTTACGGGTCTGGCTGTGGCTTGGGGACAGCCGTGGCGACACGGGGGCATGGCAGTCGCCCCCTCCCACGCACGGCAGTGACACACTCTCCCGTGGCAGGGCCTTCGACCTCACATCGTGCAGCGCGTTCCCAGCTGCCCCCGACTGGGTGAGCCTCACAAAGCTGTTCCTGGGGGTTTGTGGCGGTGGCCTCAGTGGCTCTGTGTCCTGGTGTCCCACCACCTCTGTCCCTTCTCTCCAGGCTGCCTCTTCCCCGCGCTGAGCCAGCGTGTCCCAGGTGGGATACCAAAGCTGCGGCGGAGGCGGCAGGTTAGTGGGGACAACGGGGTACACAGGGCAGGGGACAGAGGACGTGGGCAGGGGACAAGTGTGCTTGACCCTGGTTGATTTCTGCCGGTTGGCTGCGGGTGCAGCCAGGCTCAGCCGTGTTTGCAGAGTGCCGTTCCTGCCTGGGCTCAGGGATGTGGAGGGGACCCACTGGAAAACTGGTGGGGCTGCATCCCAAGACCACACAGTGGCTGTCCCCAGTCCCTGTATCCCAAACATCCCTGGAGGGGTCAGGAGCCCCACCCGGGTGCCGGTGCCAGCTCAGCCGCGGGTTCCTCTGCAGGTCCGCCGAGCCCAGCACACGGTGCACAGCGAGACCAAGTACATCGAGCTGGCCGTGGTGAATGACCATCAGCTGGTGAGGGGGGGATTCCCGGGGCTGGCGGGGGCGGTGAGGGGTCGGGCTGGCCCCCCAGTCCCACCTGGCCCCTGGTGTGCCCCCAGTTTCTGCAGCTCCGCAAGTCCGTGGTTCTCACCAGCAACTTTGCCAAGTCCGTGGTCAACCTGGCTGACATGGTGAGGGGGGCGTCTCTGGAAGGAATTTGTCCCTGGGAGGGTTAATCCCTGGCATCTGATGGGTTTGTCCCTTGGGGCTTCATTCCCCTTCATTCCCAAGGGATTTATCCACAGTGGGCTTATTCCTGGAGAGAGGGTTTATCCCACATCCTGGTGGGTTTGTCCCTGGAGGGTTATCCTTGACGAGACGGTTCCCAACAGCTGGTGGATTTGTTCCCAGAGAGTTTGTCCCTAGTTCCTGGTGGTTCGTCCCGGGAGGTTGGTTCTCAGCTCCTGCTGGGTTGGTCCCTTGTGAGTTTGGTCCCAGGGAGTTTGCACCACTCTTGTCACTCTTGTTTCTTTTCTTTGCCACTTTATGGTTTTGTCCCTGGGGAATTGTTCCTGGTGACTGATGTGTGTGCCTGAAGTTGTCCACAGGGCTTTATCCCCAGTAGCTGGTGGGTTTGTCCCTGGGAGGGGTCGCGTTCCCAGCACCATCCTTTTGTCCCCACAGATCTACAAGGAGCAGCTCAACACCCGCATCGTGCTGGTGGCCATGGAGACATGGGCGGCCGAGGACCGGATCCGGGTGGGACAAGACTCCCTGGAGACCCTGAACGAGTTTGTGAAGTACCGGCGCGAGGGGCTGGCAGAGCACAGTGACACCGTGCACCTCTTCTCGTGAGCGCTGTGGCCGCGTGTCCCCCCGGGGCCGGGGACCAGGTCCCCCGTCCCCACCATCCTCTTCCTCGCAGGGGTCGGACGTTCCAGAGCAGCCGCAGCGGCACCGCCTTTGTCGGGGGCATCTGCTCCCCTGCCCGCGCCGGCGGCGTCAACGAGGTGGGTGCGAGGGGCAGGGGGGACACGGGGGGGCTGGGGACAGGGCCGGGGGGTCCCTGTGGTGACACCGCGTCCCTCCCGCGCAGTACGGCAACGTGGCGGCCATGGCGGTGACACTGGCACAGACACTGGGGCAGAACGTGGGCATGATGTGGAACAAGCACCGCTCGGCCGCAGGTACCCAGCTCCGCGGGGCCGTGGGGACCATGGGGACACGCCGCGGTGCCACCAGGCTGACGGAGGGACAGTCAGCCCCCCCAGCCCTCTCCTCTCCCCCCAGGGGACTGCCGCTGTCCCGACGCGTGGCTGGGCTGTATCATGGAGGACACAGGGTGAGTGCCCGCTCGAGGTGGCACTGCCACATCCCCTGCCACACCTCGTGTCACCGCTGCGGGGACATCGCCGAGGGTCCTGCCGGGGTCCAGGTGTCTGGCAATGCCTTCGGACAAGGGCAGGGTGTGACAGTGTGACAGTGACCCCCATGCCACAGGTACTACCTCCCACGGAAGTTCTCCCGCTGCAGCATCGATGAGTACAACCAGTTCCTGCAGGACGGCGGCGGCAGCTGCCTCTTCAACAAACCCCTGAAGGTACCGGCCCCCCGGCCCCTCGGGGGGTCACCGTAGGGGGCGAGGCTCTGGACGTGGCTTCCGGAGTCCCTCGTGGTGTCCCCAGCCCCTGCCACGGCCAAAGTGCTGGTGCTGAACTCCCAGGGGGGCAGTTTGGGAGTGCTGCCGTTCCCCGGGGATGTGATGCTCTTTTCGGGGGGCTCAGGGGTCCCCAGCAGCTCTCGTGTGTGTGTGTGTGTGATGTTTATCCCTCGGTCCCGGCAGCTCCTGGACCCTCCGGAGTGCGGCAATGGCTTTGTGGAGGCAGGCGAGGAGTGCGACTGCGGCTCGCTGGCGGTGAGCAGGGTCAGGGGGCTGCTCCCCCCGTTCTGGGGGGCTGGCAGGGGACTGATGGCCGTCATTCCTTCTGCTGTCCTTGCAGGAGTGTGCGAGGAGTGGGGGAAACTGCTGCAAGAAGTGCACCCTGACCCACGATGCCATGTGCAGCGATGGGCTCTGCTGCAAGGGCTGCAAGGTGCGGGGCTGGGAGCAGCCGGGGGGCTCACGGGGACCGGGGTCCAGATGTGGATCCCGTGCGGTCCTGTCCCATTCCTGATGAGTTGGGTTTGTGTCCCGGGCAGTACGAGCCACGTGGTGTGTCCTGCCGGGAGGCTGTGAACGAGTGTGACATCCCTGAGACCTGCACCGGGGATTCCAGCCAGGTGAGTGGGGCTGGGGGACATGGTGCGGGGGACATGGTGGGACATGCTGTGGGGCCTTGTGGCATCACCCAACCTCTTTCCCCTGTCCCCACAGTGTCCCCCCAACCTCCACAAGCTGGATGGATATTTCTGTGAGAACGAGCAGGTGAGTTCAGCCCAGCCTGATGGGACAAGGCCCTGGGGCTGGGCACATCTCCACAGGCTCCAGCATCGGGGCTTGTGCATGTTGGAAGTGTATTTGGGACTGTCCAAGACCCCACTGCGGTCCCACAAGGGCTTGGAGCAGCCTGGTCTGGTGGAAGGTGTCCCTGCCCATGGCAGGGGATGGAACTGAATGGGCTTTAAGGTCCCTTCCGACCCAAACCAGTCTGGGACGTTTTGTCAGCAATCGCAGCCACAGCTGAGCCCCGCACACACACGTGGGTGTGGGGTTGGGTTTTGGGGTGATCCGGGGGCCCTGATCCCCACTGCTGTCCCATCCCTGCACCACAGGCACGGGGGGTGCGAGGGCTCATTGTCCCTGCAGCGCCTCCCTGCAGTGCATGTGTGCGAGCCCTTTCCAGCCTCATCATCCCTCCCCAGCCCCCTGACCCTCCTCCAGGACCCCTGACCCCTCTCCAGCCCCTGACCCTCCCCAATCCCCTGACCCCTGTCCCCTCCCTGCAGGGTCGATGCTACGGCGGACGCTGCAAAACTCGGGACCGTCAATGCAACGCGCTGTGGGGCCGCAGTGAGTGCTGGCCTGGGCGAGGGGGGACGCAGGGGGTGACAAGCAGGTGACACTCGCTCTCTGCCAGGCTCGGCCGAGCGCTTCTGCTACGAGAAGCTGAACGTGGAGGGCACGGAGCGGGGGAACTGCGGGCGCGAAGGCCTGGGCTGGCTGCAGTGCAACAAGCAGTGAGTGACCCCTGTCCCCGCGGCCCCTCCCGGTGCCACCTGCCACCCTGGTGACACCTCCGCTGCCTTGAAGGGACGTCCTGTGCGGCTTCCTCCTCTGCGCCAACATCTCGGGGTCGCCGCGCCTGGGGGAGCTCAGCGGGGAGATCGCCACCACCACCTTCTACCACCAGAACCGCTACGTGGACTGCAGGTAACGGTGCCACCGTGGGCACCGCCACGGCTCCAGCTCCCAGGGGTCTCGGTGTCACCCGCTGTGGCTGTCCTGGCACAGGGGCGGCCACGTGCAGCTGGTGGATGGCTCGGACCTGAGCTACGTGGAGGACGGGACGCCCTGCGGGCCCGGAATGCTCTGTCTCGACCGCAAATGCCTTCCAGCCACCGCCTTTAACTTCAGCTCCTGTCCTGGCAGCTGGGACGGGAAGATCTGCTTCGACCACGGGGTGAGAGGCGCGGCGGGGACAGGGGGACACCGGGGGAGTGTCACGGTGGCGGGTTGTGACGCCGTCCTGTCACAGGTTTGCAGCAACGAGGGGAAGTGCATCTGCCGGGCGGAGTGGACGGGGAAGGACTGCAGCGTCTACGACCCCATCCCTGAGCCGAAGCCGACGGGGGAGACGGAGCGATACAAGGGTCCGTGTGCCCGCGGGGGACACGGGCTCCCTGCTGTCCCCAGGCCACACAGGCTGGGCTGTCCCGCTCTGTCCCCAGCCACTCCGGGGCTCCAGAGTGTCCCCCCATCCTGGTGCCGCAGCTCAGCTGGGCATGGCTGAGTTTCCTCCACCCCCCCCCACCCAGGTCCCCCACAGCCCTGAGTCATACCTGGGGCTGTGTCCCCATGTCCCCGCATCCCGTCCCCACTGAGGTGTGTTCCTATGGCTGGGTTTGCCTCCCTCCCAAGGTCCCACAGCACTGGGACTACCCTGGGGCTGTGTCCTGGTGTCCCCCTGTCCCCACTGACATGTTCCCTGTGGCTGGGTTTGCCCCCTTCCCGAGTCCCCATGGCACTGGGGCATCCCTGGGGCTATGTCCCCGCATCCCCATGTCCCCATGTCCCCTTCCCACTGACGTGTGACCCTGTCCCCTCCTCCCTGTCCCGTCTGTCACAGGTCCCAGTGGCACCAATATCATTATCGGCTCCATCGCGGGGGCCGTGCTGGTGGCTGCCATCGTCCTAGGGGGGACAGGCTGGGGATTTAAGTAAGCAGCCACCGCATGGCTCGTCCCCTCTGCTGCTGTCACCGGCCACGTCCCCTCTGCACACCGTCACCGCGCCAGGGCCAGGCCGTGCCCTGCTGGGGCACTGCCAGTCCCCCCAGCTGGGCGTCCCCTGCGATGTGGCCTCTGGTCCCCTTGGCCCTGCCTGGTCCCCTGACCCTGCCTGGTCCCTTGTCCCAGCCCCTGCCTGACCCCTGGTCCTGCCTGCCCTGCCTGCATGTGGCATTGGGGTGTCACTGTCACCCGGACCCCGTGGCCGTGTCTGTCCCCAAGCATGGGGTGCTGGGGCGGGGGCTGTGTCGGTGGCCCCCCCGTGTGTGCTCCTGCCTGGCACTGGGACACTGCTGCTGCCTGTGGGCCCAGGGACACTGGGGTGGGGGGACGCACCAGCGGGGACAGCAGGGACACGGGGGTCGCACTAATGCTCCTCTCCTCTCCCCCTGCCACCCCCCCAAGGAACATCCGCCGAGGAAGGTACGACCCGGCGCAGCAGGGAGTGTAACCGTGTCCCCCCCATCGTGTCGTCACCGTCCCTGTCACCGTCACCGTCCGGCAGCCTGACGGCGTGGGAGCCCCCGGGCCCGTCTGTCCATGTGCTGTGTGTCCGGCCGTGCTGTCTCCATCTCTGTGCCCCCACGGCTGAAGGGGAGCAGCGGCTGGGGGGGCCTGGCAGCAGCCCCCCCCCGGTGCTGGCTCATTTCAGCTCAGTGTCCCCCCGTGTGTCACCCCCCTGTCACGGCCCCCCACTAAACGCACCCCACTTCTGTGTTGCAGGTCCGGGGGGGCCTGAGCGGGGCCGCTCTGCCCCACCCCCCAGCACCTCATTAACAGCAATTAAATGGGGCGGCGCTGCCGAGGGTCCAGCCGAGGAGGAGAGTGGGGGGGGGGAAGCCGGGGCCGCTCCCCGGCCCCCCCGCACCGCCACGAATGTACGGGGACCCCCCGGGCTGGCGGCGCTCGGCACTGGATGAATGGATGGATGAATGGATGGATGGATGGATGGATGAATGGATGAATGAATGAATGAATGAACCAACCCGAGGGGCCAGCGGGGAGCCCCGGCCCCACTGCCCCCTCTGCCCTCCAGCAGCATCTTCCAGCCAGGGGCCTGGGACCCCAAAAGGCAGGCCCGGGTACCCCAGGACAAGGCCAGTGTCCCCAGGACAAGGCCAGTATATCCCAGTACCAGGCCAGTAATACCCAGTACCAGGCCCCTTTCCCAGTTCAGGGCCTAGAGTCGTGTCCCCCCCTCCCTCCCCCCCGGTGCCTGGGCTGGGTCCCACGGGGCCAAGTCCTGTACCCCCAGATGTGCCTCCTGCCCCCCCAAAGCAGCTCAGCAGCCCCGTGTGGGGTTTGTCCCCTCAAATTCTCCGATCCCCCATGTCATGGCTGCACCCCCAAGCCATGGGACCCCGAAGTCACCAGTGGTGGGACAGACACCCACGGGCTCTTCCTCAAGCCTTCCCCCACTTCCCCAGCTATGGCGGGTGAACCCCGAACTGGTGACACTGGGGTTGGGGGGACAGAAGGGCCCCCCCGAGGGATCAGGGTGAGCCCTGGGCTGGGGACACCTAGGGCTGCCTGCTGGGTGGCACTTGTGACCCCAGCCCCAGGGCAGGCTTGTGGCACCTGTTCCCCCAGGCTGGGTGTCCCCCACCCCCATGGGTGGGGGGAAGCATCACTCTCCCTGTGGCACAAATGTCACCCTGCATGGGGTGGCTCTACAGAGCCACCCAAATTACAGAACCATGGAGCACTGGGGGCCACACTGGTCCCTTCAACCACTGGTGACACTCAGCATGGAGGGGGGACATCCCTGGTGACACAACCCGGTGTGTGTGCATGTGTGGGGACACTCCTGGGGACACTCAGCACGGGGACAATGGGGGGATGATCCCATTGTCCATGGCGGTGTGGGGGTGTCCCCTCTGTGTCCCCTCCTTGCCCAGTGTCCCTGCTCACCACCGGGCCCCTTTGCCATGGAGACAGAGAGTGACCAAGGGTGTCCCCAAGCCCAGCCATGGCCAAAGTGTGGTGGCACCCAGCCTGGTGTGACAGCCCCACTGGATACTCACGGGTGCTGTGGCTGTGGTGGCAGCCTAGGGGACAGGGTGGGAGGTGACAGCAGGACGGGGGTGGATGGACATCCCCTGGCTTCGATGGTGGCTTCTTGTGTGATGTATCAGCACTGGGCTGGGAGAAGTGAGGACCTGGGAGCACCGTGGGCATCAGCGGTCTGAGATCAACCCCCATCTCTAGCACTGTCACCACAGTGTCCCCACAGCTGCCACAGCCACAGTGCTGGGGTGCTCTCCGCGGCACGGGGACACCCCTGGTTCAGAGCGAGAAGCCACCGTTGTCACTGGGTTTGGGGACATTAATTAATATATATATATACATATATATATATATAAATACTGGGATTTTTCTTAATGATTTTAACGCTGTCAGGGCGGGAGGGCCCGCGGCGGGGGAGGGGGCACCCAGTGCTTCCAGAGCCAAGAGAACAAACCCCCCCCCAGCCCCCGCTGCTCGCACGGGCCCGGCCCGGCCCGGGGACGAGCCCAGCGGGGCGGGGTCCCCGTGCCCCCCTCGCCGCACCGCAGCCACCCCGCACCGCCTGCTCCGCTACCGCCGGGCCGGGCGGGACCCCCGCGGGACCCCCGCGCCCCCCGGCCCCGAGCTCCCGCTTTGCACGTGCTGGGAGCCGCCGGAGCCGCCGCTCCGGGCCCGGCCCTGGCTCCGGCCTCGGCCGCCTCCTGCAATGTCGCAGAATTTATTTACAATAAAGATTTGGAAAACGATGGGGCTCCGCTTCTCAGCCGCGTGGGGAGGCGGGGGACGGCGCCAGGGAGGGGGGAGGTTTCTCAGATTTCATCTGTGAGGATGCTCCGGCCCTTGGATCCCTCCAGTTCCACTGATGATCCCCATGTCCCACATTCCACCCTGGCTTGTCCCTCACCATTTCTGTGTCTGAGTCAGGAGGCACACCCAGTATGGCTCCCAGTATGGAGATGATGGCACAATGGTGAGTGTCACCAAGCTCCCTCCCTCCCAGATTTTACCTGTCCCACTGTGGGGACACGTGGCTGCTCCCCTTCCCATCACAGACCCTGTGCAAGGACACTGCTCCATCCCTGTCCCAGCTCCATCCCAGGGACACCCTCAGCTGAGCCAGCACCGTGCAGGGTTCTGGCAGCGACCCTTGGCAGAAGGGGACTGGGGGACAGGTCCCCAACTCCCAGAGGATGGAGCATCTTCCCACGGAGCCAGCCCTGGTGATGCTCAGCTGGGGCTGCCCCCCAAAGCTTAGAGCAG